CAGCCTGACACCGTGGGGAAGTACTGAGGCTTCTCTGGGGATTCAGGCTTCTCTTGGTCCAGGGTGGGCAAGCCCTGGTGACCTTCTGTGTCCAGACAAAGTGTCTCTCTCCCACCACGTACAGCTGGATGAGCCAAGAGAGCCCTCCCAGAGAGACGAGCCTTGCCTGGCAGAGGAATGCCAGCTCTTGGGTGAAGCTTCTGAAGTTTGTTTTGTTTTGCTTTTTGCTACAGAGAACAGTTACGCCCGCAGCAACCTCCTTAAAGAGAACCTCATTGATTTCTTTGTGCCGTTCCTGCCCCTGGAGTTCCACCACGTGACGCTCTGTGCACGGGATGCTTTCCTGGCCCGGGGACTTACCTACACGGAGGCAGCGCTCGACGAGGTGGCCAGGATGATGGTGTTTGTCCCCAAGGAGGAGAAGCTTTTCTCTGCACAGGGCTGTAAATCTGTATCCCAGCGCATCAATTACTTCCTTCCCTGAACACCAGGTGGGACTACACCAGCGGTGAAGGTGGTTCTGCACACTGAGAGCTTCTCTCTTTGCACAGGGGCAGGCAAGCAGGTTACCCAGCCCTTGCACAGGGGCAGAGACTTGACCCCTTGTCACTCTGAGGGCTGCTGGCAGGGCAGGAGGTGCCCAGCCTTCCTGGTGGGACACGGGGCCAGCCTGTGCTCGGCTGTGTTTGAAGCCTGTCCGGTGTTTTAAAGTCCCCTCTTTGAGCAGGGTAGCCTGACGTGGTGATTGGGTTGTGCTGACAGATGCTTTGTTTCACGTGAGCAGGATGTCCAAGTCCTTGGTTTGTTACCATGTAATGAAGGCCTTGGACAGACTGGTCCTGTCTGAGACAGTCCAGCAGAAGCCACGTCATCATCTCTGTCCCCAGTTTTGTCACTTTACAAGCTCTCAAATTGCACAGAACTGTTTTGCTGCTAGTTTGTTTTTTTTACTCTATTGCTCTCCTGTGCTCACAAGGCATCTGCTGCTCAGGGACGTGTGTGCCAGGATCACGGTTTGTGGAGGGAGGCCCTTTTGTGTAGAGAAAATGTCTGAATAATCTCCTCTGGAGATGCCAGATCCATTGCCTCTTTGTTCAGTGTCCCTCTCATGTTGGAGTCTTTCGTTGTATGGAAGCAGCCGCAGGGAGGAGGTGAACTGCTGAAATTATTATTCCAAGCAGTTTGTTGAAGAGCCTGTTTGCTTCATTGCTAAATGAAAAAGGGGAGACTAATTCCCCTTTGGAGGGCACAGGGCAGTTGAGGAGGGTGGTGGCTGAAGGAACAGGCTGCAGATGATTTAGGTTTTAAGGGATGCAGTAAGCTTGGGGGTTTTTTTTCTTCTTTTTTTTTCAGTATGCTGCATGCTGTGGGGTTTTTGGCTAGTATCAGCATTACTACACTACAGGGCTGTTTGCTGTCTGGGTGCTTGCCAGGTGATAAGCAGGACCAAAAAGTTTCAACAGTGTTATGGGAATTCGCTTTGTGACCTCTAGGTCAAAACTCCCTTCCAACACCGCTGGGCTGGGGCAAGGACGGGGCTTAGCTCCCCAGACACCCCGTGTGCGGACCTTTGGTCTATTTTAAGCTTTAAACGTCTCTGTGGTGCCAGCGATGAGCAGCACGACCTCTGGGAAAAGATTGACCAGACACACTTACTAGTCCTGCAGACTTTGAGTTCGTGCTTCCCTGCGGGCGTGCTGGCTCTGTTATCTAACGAGGCTTCATGGTCCAAGGCAGGACGGCGCGCCAGCTGCTCTCCTACTGCTCAGCTGATGCAAAGTTAGTTTAAACTTACCTGTTGTCTCTAGATCGGACCTTAGAGCCTGTGCCAGCCTACGCTGCTATCGGGCATTTCTTAGACTTGGTTTATGGTTAATCTCTTTCTTAATCACAAGCTTGAAGCCTAAAGCTTCAGCCTGGGAAAGAGGCAGAGGGAGACACACCCAGGGACATCCGCTGGGGAAGGGAGGATGCAGCTCCAGAGAAGGACACAACTCAGGTTGTGCTTTATAACCTGGGCACAGAGTTCAGAAAGCTGTCAGTTTGTTAGCTGAAGGTTAGTTGCTTAGAAGGTTGTATAGACCAGATGAACCTATGTTTTTTTTTTTAAAATAGAAAATCTTGAGCTGTCCAGGTTAGACGGACGCTGTTTGGAGTGGAAGGCGGTCACTTCGTCAGGTGTTTCGCCAGTGCAGGGCTGGTTTGAGGTTGGCATGTGAAGCAGTTCTTACTCTGTTACTGATTAAGGAGGTGATGGTGTTACTAATGAGGGCAACTGTCAAACTGATGATGCAAGACCCTGCCCTCTGCCAAGTCACTCTCTTGTATGTTTGAGAATTAAGTGAGCATTTGATTATGCAACCCCAACAGCAAGAACCACTCTCCTCTGACCACTCCATGGCAACGTTGTTTGATTTTAAAGGTATAAATAAAGATACTGCTTTTCTTTGCAATCTATCAGAATTAAATTAGTTTCCTTTTTAACAGGTTTATCATCATCTTGTCTTTTCTCACCAAAATAACAAACTTCAGGTTAGTACTGAGCATCTTCAAATACTAAGAAAAAAAAAAAGCAGCATAAACTCAAATGTTTTTTTGCCAATAAAATATTGCAACCTTTATTTAAAACAAAATGCAAATTGGCAAAACTTTGTGTAACGACAGGCAAAGAGGCCCTTCCAAGGGCCTTATTTACATCAAGTTTAACACTGTTCGCAGTTCACAGTCAGACGATAGTGAGAGAATTAAATTAGAAAAACAACCAAAATATATTACAATAACAATTAAAAACAAAAAAACAGTTGACAACACTGGTAGAGTGATTGGTGATTAACGTGTTTCATTTCAATCCATTCCTGCCCTCAGTGAGTTCACTACTGATACAAGCAGCGTGCTGAGCCGACCGGGCTTTACCTCCCGTGCACAACAGACACGTTTGGAAGAACAACCTCCTTTGGTACAGACATTTCTTATCATCAGTCAGGTGTCCCATAACCTCTTATTTCCTACCAGCAGGGAACGGGCTGAAGGTTTTGTTCTATACTACAGGCAACTGGAGCGTGACCCATCCGTGCTGGATGGTGCCACTCGCGCTGAAGCAGGAGGTTTCCAAGTGTGCTGTAGTCGCTACCCTTTGGTTTTCCTGGCAGCTACCAGCAGGGCTGGGCTGAGGGTTTTAAAAGAGAAGACAGAGCAGCCTGATGCATTTGTAAAGATCTGGATTCAGTAGTGCTTGTCGCAGCTGCTGATGCCTAAGAGCACCGACAAGCACAATGCTGAGCGCTCAGCTGCTGGGGAAGCCTGCCTCAGGTAAGCGGTACAGACACCAGGCTCTGGATTTCTCTGACCGCACAGCGTAACCCACCCTCCCTCCTCACGCCCCCGCTGCCTTTTAGGGAGGGGCTGCTCTGTTAACACTGCCCTTTTGGTGCAGCTGTTACCCCCCCGGTTTAGTTCCTGCTGCCCGCAGAGAGCGGCGTGCCGTAAAACTCTTGCGTAAGCACCCCTGGTGAGATGTCAGCATGCGTGTGCTCGGCTGTGTCTCACTGCCCCAAGGCCAGTGGTAGTCAGGAGAAATGTCCTGTGTGAGGAGGATGGGGACAGACACCCCCTTCCCCATCCTGTTCTGCACCAGCACCACTGCTTCATTCAATTCCACTTTCCCAGCAGCTCAATCTGATGCAGTCCCAAGACCCAAACTCAATTTAGCTCCACCCCATCCACACTAATGAAAAAATATGATTAAATCGAAGTGCTGCCAGTCAGACAGCCGAGTGCACCACTTGTGGGGTTAAAAAGGACATACAGTGCAGGAAGAAAAGAGAATTGCACCTGTGAGTCAGCTAATTCCCCACAGTAGCTAGGAAGAGAAAGTGCCCCATGTCAACTCGCTTGGGTAAGCGCGTGCTTTGTGCTTGGCACGGCCAGGCCCTGCGTGATGCCATCCCCTTGCAAAGACGCCTACTTCAAATTCTAGCCCATAGCAGGGCAAGTGAGAGAACCTGGCTGCAGTTGCATCCTTACCACACAAGGGCTTCTGATGGTGGTGAGGAAAGGAAACACAACAGGAGTTCATGCTTGTCCCTACCCTAAACAGGGGAGTGGGAGGTGCTGGGACAAATAACGGGGCTCCACCATCCTTAGGTTACTCTGAACATACTGTGCAAGGCTGAAAGCAGAGAAGCTGCTACAGGAGCGATGTTTAAGGCTGAACAGAAAGCCAAACCTAATGAAAGGGAGAAGGAACAGCAACAATTTTAGGAGAGTAGCTGTGGAAGGAAGAACACCTGAACTGTGATTTACAGCAGAACCAGCTTTCCCAGGTATCAGCCTTTTGCTTTCCTGCCAGAGGGCAGGGGAGAATTCCAGTTTGAGAATAAAACATGGCTGGGCAGCAGCACTCCTGTGGCCTCCTTTGGGGGAAAGAATGCAGATCAGCACTACCTCTGCCACCATCCACCTCCTGATGCAAATAACACAATAGGTAAGAGCAGAGAAAACACTCTCCATAGGAGTGATTACGGGCAAATTGCCAAATTCCACTGTTCGGTGGTGTTCCTCTGCTGGAGGGATCAGAACTGAATGGGCTTCTCTGTTGCCCACAGGGGTTGTGGAGTCTCCATCCTTGGAGATATACAAAAGCCATCTGGACATGGTCCTGGGCAGCAGCTGTAGGTGGTCCTGCTGGAGCAGGGACCTCCAGAGATGCCTGCTAACCTGAGCCATTCTGTGACTGTAAAAGCAAATGGCAGCTTCAGCTGTGTTACCATCTCTGGCGTGGGGAAGGAGACATCAGGCAGCAGATGATGAGTGGAGGGGAACCAGTCCTTCCTTGGGGCACAGTTAGTTTCTTTAGAAGGGTCAGAAAGGGCTGAAAGAGGGGAGTTTTAGTAGTTAGAAATTCCAGGAATTGTTTGCTAGTCTGTCACTTTTGCTGGAGCTTTTCTGGAAGACTGGCATTTGGGGAGGGGGAGAGAAAAGCCTTCTTTCAAAATATTTATCAGACCTGGACTAAGAGCCTTAACATTTTCTGGTTAAAATACCTTTCCCCTGAGAATCACTTCAGTTTCAGTCCATTTGTCTTAGGCTGAGTAGTAGTACAATGATGAAACCATACGACTGTCTGCCAGAGCAAACACAACCTGCCTTTCTGCCCCGAAGAAAGCTCCCCTCCCTTTTCAATCCTTTTGATTGTTTGAAAGGCCACCTGAAGCAATACCACAATCTGCCTTCCCTTTGCAAGTCCCTTTCCAAAGGCAGTTAGTTTGGTGTGCATTGCTGCACACCTTCAATAAAGATGACTGAAAGAGATAAGGTAAATCACAAAAGCCCTCGGTAAAGTCTGTAAGATAATGGTTTGGTACTCAGCCTCGGGGCTCAGTGTCGCTGTGAAGAGCCCTCTCTCCGGTCCCACTGACCTGGGGGCTGCAGGAGAGCCTGGGCAAGCTGACGATCCTACGGCAGAACCAGACAGTAGGCTTTGCT